CCATCGACTTGCACAAAAAGAAGTTAAGTGTAATAGTAGCATACCTGAAGAGCCTCTGACCCGGTCTTTTGCCATCCTGGCCTTACGCTCATTCTGCTTTGATGCATGTAAGAGTGTCTGCGTACGTCTCTTACCAGACTGCATTATCACAGCTTTCGACACCCCACCATATTTTGTCACCTTCCCGCCTACCATTCCTCTACCAGTCCTAGCGTCAAAGCCCAGATATGCCGAGCTCGAGTCAATAAGGTGAATCACAAGCAGATCGAGTAGAAATACAAGCACGTATCATAGAGCAGATGAGAGCGACAATGGACGTGGTCCGAACACCACGTGCCGGACCGTCCGGCAGTGGGTTCGAAGATCTAACGACGGATCTAGGACGGGACGGCGGGCGTTCTTATATAGATCTGTGTTGTTGCTGGCGTCGCCGGAGTTTGCTGGAGTCAAGGGCTGGAGTGTACTGGAGTGCCTCGACGGGACAGACGCAAGTCCAACATCGAGAGCAGCGCTTCCGGTGGAGTCGACCTGAAAGGCCTTTAAGTCTCATAATACTGGACGGTACGATCAACCGTCCACTCTTATAATACTGCTATTGTGGGAAGGCCAGGTGTACCTAACGGGACCCCGCGCAGCGCGAAGCGTCACTCCGCAGGGCAGCGCGGGGTTGGCTCAGCGGGTTAGCCTATGCTTGGCCGTATATAGATAACAGTAGACACTGCAAGCAATATATAAAATTAAATATGTCCACCTGATATGTTCCTGTATCGTAGATGGTTATGTTCCTGTAGTGTAGATGGTAAGTGTCTTGCCGGGATTGGAAAGCCCGAAGTTCGAGGCTGCGGGTTTGACTCCAAATCTGTTTGTTTCGGGCATTGTTTTTTTCCGACGGTTTTTGTCAAGATGTATGCATCACTTGTGAATAAAACTCCTTACTCTTGGGGCTTCAATTTATTTCATCATCAGTTAAGATACACTCCACACCATCCTGATACCATGCTGACAAGCCTGTACTTAGTGCAGGAGAAAACCTTTGATATCAGTGTTTAAAGAGTCACAGCCGCCGCCTGCTGCAACCTCCCTTTTCATCCCAACGAGATTGTAAACTCTCAGTACATATCACATAAAATACTTTGTATAGCTCCCTACCTACTCTACGTAAGTATGTATATGCGTCGTTCTGGTGTCGAGACTCGACTTCAAATGGCCTGAGACCGTGGAAACACTGCGCAGACTTGCCGCACAGCCGTCTGTGCAGTCACTTCACGATGGCCTCGACCTTCCTTTTACGGGCCGCGCGTCCTCAGCTTTGTTGGGAGGATTGCATTTAGTGAGGTCAAATAAGTCAGATTTGCAGACTAGGCACATCACTCAGGACATAGTCGGTCAGAACAAGCTGTAATTATCTGATGCAGGACGTCAAGCCAAAGCCCAGAAGGTGTATAATTGCATCCCAGAAACTGCGAGGGAGAGCGATACCGCAGTGGATGGGTAAGGTGCAAGAAGTCCAGGATGACGCACGATGCAGCGCGTGAAATGGCTAAATCGGGGTCCTACCAGGACGGCAGCGACGATAAGTCATTCAATTCGCATGCTCCTACCTCAAAGTTTTGCATGAACACTCAGTTAGGTAGTAGCTTCCGAGCGGTACATAAATTGTGATATGAGACAAGAAACTGAGCCAGCTAGAGCCGTCGTGTCCTACTACCCAGTGTGTCCGACTTCCTGACCCCGGACAGTACACCGTGCAAAAATGTTGGTTAGGGTGAAGCAGCCAACCAGAAAACAGGAAAATACATACAGTGGCGTGCGAAAGTAATGCACCACCCAAGATAAATGTATATCTCTGCAACCACTTGACCATTCTCTTCGGTGTAAAAAGTAACCTTTTAGCCCTCCTTCTGGGCAACAAAATGGCAGTACTATGGAGTGATGTAGGTGCCCCTATCAGGAGAGAGAGGCTCTACATCAAAGACCCCAATTTTCAACTTTTTACTGAGAGTCCCGATAGACTAGCGTTTATTACCATCTGAAAGAGGCAAAAACACTGTGCAATTTTGATACCAGAATGACCCTGATTGACTACACCATTGTGGAGATACAGGGCCAGAAAGTAAGGGGTCTAGGTGCAAAACTCAGAAATATTACACCAAAATCCCAACTTTCTGACCTCATATCTCCACAATGGTGTAGTCAATTTCTATAATTCCAGATTCTAAAATATACAGATTTTCCTGAAGATTTTAGCCATGCAATGTATGGAAGTCTGTGGTGTCTCTACGAGGAGATAAATTTTGACTACAAATATTGTTTCTACTGCAGAAAGAGCAGATCTATTCTGATCACCATGATTGTGGTTCTATCTGATAGAGCTTCAAAAATACTACAAATTATGTGTTTACACCAAGAGGAAATACTCTGTCTACATTGAGTTATATTCCAAATAGTACTGGTCGAAAAGTGGTGGTGCATTACTTTCGCACGCCACTGTATAGCTACCGATATTCCAAGTGAGTAAATATAATCTAATATTATTTTCCCCCAGTAAAAATGGTGTAACTCCCGCTGTGCAAGTTCCGTCTCCCTCTTCCTCCGTTTCCTCATCGTTGCTTGCCTGTCTCGATTTTATCCCGCCCAGCTGCAGCTCGTGCGCAAACCCACAATGGTCCTTTCTTGCTCTCCGCGTGCTGCAGACGCCCACAAATCACAGCATGCCTTCCGAGTCTATTCTCGATGATCACAAGAAGACCCGTTACTTGGCCTCTACCAGCGCTCGCGCTATTCTTGTCTACTCAGCGTTCAATGCTGGGTACACCACACACCTAATAAGCAATAAGCATACTCTGCTTCTCTTCCCGGCTTCCCCACCGCTATCATGGCCCCTTCCTCCTCCTCGCACACGCCCATGCACCCCAGGTCGACCGATGCCTCCGACGACAACAACGACAACGATGGCCTCCTCACGCACGGCAGCGACATTGTGATCATCCTCCTGCTCGTCTGCGCCCTCGTCTTCGCGCTCGAAATGGTCCGCGGGAAGGTCGCCGCCGCCCGGCGCGCGCGAGCCATGCCACACCGGACCTCGAGGTCTGGTACAGGCAGCAGTGGACTACCCGTGGAGGAGGAGCCGAGTGCGAGGAGGAGGAAGCGCGCGAAGGTCCCGCCGGCGTGGTTTGAGGTGTGTGTGGCGGGGGAGGGGGAGGGACGGTGGGAGGAAGTAAAGGTCGGTGGTCCTCATCCGCTTCACGGTGGCGGGGGCGAACTGACGTGACGCCCCAAGCCGCTTGCGTACCGATCCCTCCCTTCCTTACCGTGCTCCCAAGAAACGTTCAGGGCGAGGGCAGGCTGCGCCCCCGCGTTTGTCAAGACTCATTCCTTGGCCCCCTCCGCGTCTTCCACGTCCTCCGAGTCCTCGCCAGAAATCGAGATGTCCGAGATGACCCAATCTCAGTCCCCGTCACAGAGCACGGCGGGGGAGGTCGTCGTCCTCGTTGCGATGCCGCGGCCCAGGACTAGTCATGCGGGATGGGAGGAGGAGACGAGGCAGCTCGAGCTGGGTGTGGCGCGCTGGCCTGTCAGGGTCAGTGTGGATAGATGATCAACGGCGTTCTCCATCAATTATCTAAGTTTCAGTGGAGGTTTGCTGTATCTTGGATTCATACCCTGTACCACCGATATCACCACGCGCACCATGTACACTGCACTCGCTTCACATACGATGCACCCGCGTCCAAGATGTATCATTAGCATAGTGTACAATATAAGCATATGTTACAACAAGCAGTGCGATCTACGGAGTCCGAAAGGCTCGTACGACAGGAACACCAAGATCTCGTCAGAACCCCCGCCTATGTCACTCCCTCTCTGCCCTAACATCCTACCCTCCGGGCAGCCCGACGCGTGCCACGCCGAGCACCACGTCCCCGATGCCCTTCATATGCCCCTCCCGGGGACAGGGCATGCTGAGCAGCAGCGACACCTGCGCCGCGCGCGGGCGGTCTGGGTCCTCGGACGGGGGCCTGAGGTAGGGGTTCAGCCGGCGCACGCGGGCGGCGACGGGGTCGAGCGGGGGTGGGGAGGGGGTACGGAGGGTCGCGGAGAGCGGCTGCGCGCCCGGGTGTCAATAACTCGCCCGCGTACTGTTGGGGACCCGGAGCAGACAAACGCACCTTGACGTCCGCCCAGCCCCACGTTCCATCCCTCCCGCGGATCCACACCTCTGCGTACACCGGCCTTTCGCATTCTCTTTCCTGTTCCGTTCCCCCTGCTCCTTCGTCAGCGGAAGGGAGGGGAACAGGGTCCGTCCAGTGCATAACTCGCATGTCGCGGCGCCAGCGCCCGCGGCGTGAGGAGTACGCGCACATCGCGAAGGCGACGAAGAGCGCGATGAAGGTGATCGTGAAGCCGTAGAGGTACTGCGCGGAGTTGCTCGGGCCAGTGTCGTTATAGGTTAGGAGGGTGCGGGGTGGCGGGTGAGCCGAGGGCGGGGATGGGGACGGTGGTCGGGTCATGATGAGCGTTGATGTTAACGGGCTGCTCGTGAATGGGATGTTAGGGCGTGCTGGGCATGTCAGGGAGGGCGTAGACAGTGACAGTGACCGAGAGAAGGACTCCAGATACGGGTTATCTATAGCGGCTCTGGTGGCGACTTGCCACCTGGCTCTGGCTCTGGCTCTGTTGCCTAAGGGCCTCCTTTGCTACACATACCTATAGCTGGGAGAAGCTGCCTTATGACTCTCGTCCGCTGTGCTAACTAGTGAACTACTGTCCAAGCAAACGAGGTGACGGGCTTTCATCCCGACTCGAGATGAACTAAGCGCTGTACGGCGGAGAGATCGACATAGCTATGTATCGCAGAACATGCGACCTTGAAGACTCACTCGCTCCAGTGCTACCCAAGGGGCGGACAGAAATAAAATTTTAGACCACATGCCACAAATCTCAGTTAAGGGTCTTCAGGGGACCCCCCCTCCCCCCGTGGGACGGTCTCACGGTACATAAAGGGAAGGTATGTCGCATGGCCAGGAAGGGTTAGGGTTAATCTGTCACGGCTGGTGTCACATCTACTTCGGTCACAATTCATATGTTTTTCTGAAGATCGCTACCAGGGGTCATTCTTTCTCTCCGCTTTCCTCTGGGATACTTCAAAAAGGCATTTAGGTTACTCAAAAGTACCCAATGGTGTGCCAGATACCTACCCGTTAGCCCCCTTACCCCAGATGACTGGGCGCGTAACTGATAATAAATCTCAGTTAAGGGGTCCGAGGTCCCCCCCCTCCCCCTGCATGTGGTCTCGGCATCTCCCGGTGTCCGCCCCTTGGTGCTACCTAAAAATCCCGGAGCGCGCTCGCAGGACTAATTTTCTACGAGTCAACCAGCACAGTACTCCGACTCGCGTTTGCCTGGCTTGAAATGAACGCATAAACAGCTTCCGAACTCTGCACTTCTCGCATGGCTTTGATCTGACCTCAAGAACAGTTGCTCTTCTTTCAAAAGGCTCTCCGCTCGTCGCGGTATCACTCATCGGGTCTCGGCGCTGCTCATCGTCGTGCTATCAAACGTCAGTACGGAGGCTCCTATGCTATGATTACTCAGCTTACGAGCTTGGTTGACCTTTTTGTCCGATTACAACTACTACGAGTAACTGCTATAGCTTCCTGGATTGGACCGAGATTGATCTCAGTACTTGCATCATCCCGACGTCTCTGACGAAGCGTACCTTCAGCCCCGACGTGACGAGGCTCCCCTCTGTCTTGTATGGGCCGTGACAGCACCACCCTGCACTGATAGACGTTCTTCTCCAAGACTGCATTCAACAAGTCAACCAGTATAGTACTCCGACTCCCGCCCCTGGCTTGGAACGAAAGCGAAAACAGCTTGCGAGCTCTGCATCTCTCCTATGACTTTGGTCTGATGCAAGAACGCTCGCTCTCGTCTGAGAAGGCGGGCGCGACGCGTCGTTCTTATTGGGCTATGTAGCTGGTCGCGGTATCACCCGTCGTGTCACATCGCTGCTCATTGTCGCTCTATTATAGTGCAGTCTATGCTATGAATACTAGGCTTCCGAGCTTGTCCAAGTACAACCACTACGAGTAACTGGAAACTATCTTACACTGCTACACCTCAACATTCCGTTCTGCACCATTCTGGACTGGATTCCGTCTCGATTTGCTGTAGCTCTATAGTTTCCTGGACTGAACCAGAGAAGTCTCAGCGCTTGTATCCCCGGGATTCTGTGACGCACCGTACCTTCACCTCCGGCGTATCTAGGCTCCCCTCTGTCTTGTATCGAGCGCGAAACAACGAGCCTGCACTGGTATTTGTCTTCCACCTTTTTCATCACCATGTATGCCCAGATCATTGGCCGGTGGAGGCTCTCGTATAGCAATTCGCTTAAAGGCTCGAGACACAGCACCCTCAGAACGCTGGCCATGACCCGGCGGACTCCTCTCAGACTCGCCATGGCCCTCGATTGGGATTCTCTCGCGGATGGGTTGTAGGGCTCGACGGCCAGCTGATCTTGTTCTGTCGATCCTGCGAAACAAGGATATCACAATCAGCTCAGCCTTACGACCCGCTGGACCTTACACACTCCTTGGCCTCGTCCTCTCTTGTCTAGTCTGGTACCTACGCAGCCTCCTCGGCGGGTATAATATCTCAAGGACGACGCACACCCCGTAACAAACTGGTATCAGAAGCAGCCACAACAGGCTGTCTGGCGGCGTATTCATCTGCATTAGGATCTTCATGTGGTTCAGTATTCTCGAATAAGCGAACGAAGATACGGGCGGGGCGTCGAGAGTACATGGATGCACGACTTGGCGCCCTGGGCAGGCTTGTTATGTGTCTGGTGCGTGCTGTGAAGCTGTGTGCATTGTGCTTCGGAGGGTTGAGATGAGCAGTCGAACTTCATGGACAGCGCTATATATAGCAAGCCCCCTCGCTCTGCAGGCTGTCAAACCTAAGATGGATTCAACCTGCTGTGCCCCCGGCTCGTGGGCGCTCATCCCACCCAGGTTTTCGCCATACTGATCGAGTGCTATGCAGCGATCACGTCTCTCAATGCTGCGTCGTGTTGGGTATGTCTATTCGTAAGATGAAATACTTCTGCTTCCACGATGATGGGGCCGTCCGTTGACGGCACGCCTCGCGAGGCTGCGATATCTTGAGCATCGCCGTGCTCGTCTGCGCGGTGGTTGTGGCGGTGCGGCCTGACTTCCTGGAGGTCTGCGTTGGCGAGTGGGGCGACAGGCGGGAGAGCGGTGTGGGGACGCGAAGGTGACCTTCCTTCGGGAGTGACCAAGTTCAATCCGAGTCCCTCTTCAGTATCCATCGCAGGTCCCATCCCAACTGGTGGACGACCAGCCATGACGCGAGGCCATCCCTGCAGGAACCTACGCTTCCAGCCCCTCTGCGTCCTCCGGGTCTTGACGACGGGGATGACCCAGAGGGAAGACGAGAAAGATGATGGGTCGCGTAGGAGAGGCTTGAATCCGCAGTGCCGACACGTTGGATAGCGTATGGCTCCGGTGCAGGGAAGGATATACATTGACGACGTCCCTCCAAACCAGCGCCTGGCGCTTCTCGGATCGGTTGGAAGGCCCTCGCGTGCCTGGTTGGTTAGCTGGTCGCTGGCACGATGCGGAACACAGCATGACGCACTACGAATCCAGACGGTTCGTTGTTGTATGCGCGTTGACGGGAACATATCGAGAGTGTTAGCATACGTAACCTAATTGCTCTGATGCCACATCGTGCTTCGACTACGAGGTTGATCAACCTCGGACAAGGACCTCGCAATCCTAGGATTACAGGCTACTAGTAGGCTCGGGCGCTGCTTTCGATCTGCATTCGCACTTCACGGCGCATAGGGTGAACGAGGACTCGTACTAGTAGAATAGATTGTATCCAAGCCTCCGGTATGGCGGAGAAGTGTCCCATAGCGTCAGAGATACCGACAGACTACACTAACACACCAATATTGCTCAGCATAGCCTTCTTAAGAGGAACGTATACCCGATGGCCCTGAGCATTGTTCCGGCAGGAACCCTATCTTCCTCCAGTAATCTATCCATTTGAGGGCATCACTGGGCTGAATCTGCGGTAGACGAGGGTCTCGCAAGGTCGGAGAGCATTGCAGGGCTTTCTCCATGGCCAATATGACGGTGATGCCGTTGCTATCCGTAATTGCCCGAGCAGGGTGATCCATCGGGCAAGCCGTACGGTATACGTCCATGGCTCGGATACCTGGCTCCAGCTCTCTGGACATAGTGCGGGTCCCACGGTCAATGGCCTCTAGCTCTTCTCGCAAAAGCTGGAACCACTCCTGGAACGAGATTGTAGAGAGGTTAAGAGAAGCGGCAATGGGATTGGCGATACTACTCCAGGGAACCGGCGAAGGGTGTCGAAGATGGAGGATTGGCTCCTCCGAGTCGATCATCTCCGACAGTGCTGCTGCAGCTGTTGAGACGGGCAACCAGGATATAGTCTAGATTCAGGGAGTTTAATTGACTGTGAAGAGCTACGATAAACTCGCTTCTTACATCAGGTCCACTGGGGAAGTACCCTAAGGCGACACTTGCGGATACCATCGATGGGAACCACTCAGAAGACTTCCAGGCGCCGTTGTCGGAGCCACTCAGCTGATGAACACGGACAACGGTAACTGGCAGAGCAGCGCGCTCTGCCGCGATAGCTAGGAGACTTTCGGCAACCCATTTTGATTCAGAGTACCCAGATCCTACGGCAACCTTCGCGTCTGCAATAGGGGCTTCTTCGACAGCACTGGAGAGCTCCGAAAGTCGGTCCAGTTCTGGCCACGGATGTGAGACAGGTAAAGAGTAAAAGATGAGTGATCCTTACGCCTGAAAATGCCACCTGAGCTAACATACAACAATTTAGCTGCCCCGTTCGCTCGGCTTGAAAGTGCGAGATCAACAAGGTGACGGAGCCCTGCAATATCGGGTTTGTACGATTGCAGTGTTGCGCTCAAAGACACTGCCCAGCCTATGAGCATGGTGAGTGACCGCAGTGATAACGTTTCCGACTCCTCATATCGTACCAATGTGCACTATATGGGTCACGCTATCCCGCAGCTACCTCACTGTCGTCAGACGTTATGGAATGAACCTGTTACGAAGCCTACCTCATTATAAGCAGCTTCGCACATTCCTAGATAAGGATGAGCAAGGTTTCCTTCCAAGAAAGTGACCCTGTTAGGGCACAGAAGGGAGACATCCAACTGCCGCGACTCGAAAGCTGCTTTCTGTCTGGACAAAGGTGAGGCGGCGGAATTATTATACCTCAGAAAAACGTAGATTTTCTCGACCTCCGTGGACATAAGCAACCTGGACAACACATGCGAGCCGAGGCTGCCGGTCGTACCGGTCAGAAGTGGGATCTTATTCGGGAATACTGATGCCCCGTCGCGACTGCGTGAACGATGCATAAGCGCAAGGCCTAACGCAAAGTGCTCCACCAATTGGAGCATCTCTTGGGCCTTGAGATCGTCCTCGTTATTGGGAGCTTGTATCTGAGTGCTATGGCTAATGGTAGCCTCCATACGCGTCTCGAGTTGCCGAATCGTAACATCAGCTAAAAGCTGTATCTGCGACACTTTGACGAACGGAAGAAGTGCAGATGATAAAGAAGCAGCGGACAGGGAGTCCAGGCCATAGCTCGTCAAAGGAACGTCCGGAGATAAGTCTTCCATCGCAATTTCGAGGACTTGACATATCACACCTCGGAGAGTCGTGGGTGAGGAAAGCGAATCCGCCGCGCGGATGCTAACATATTCGTCGGATATAAGGTGGTTAAAAATTTTAGAGCGGCCCATATTCAATGCAATGGTGTTCCAGTCCAGATGTGGGACGTATTGCCAGATGGGTCTTTCTGCAAGTATAAGGAGCCCATCTTCCAGTTGACTGCATAACTCTGGAGAAGAGTCAGGTCACAACTTGTATGTGCAACTGTTATACTTACCAGAGCAGGTGACACCCCAGCTGAAAATATGTGAGATACGCGAAAGATATGCTCTGTCCCCGATATGACTCGTCACCACCGCACTATCATTGACAGCAGGGCATACTAGACAGAACATATTCCGGCGATTTTGCACTAGCCCAGCTAACGCGGTGTTTGCACTGCCCAAATATTGACTGGTTGCATCCAGTAAAGAAGATGATGACAGCATACCTCGTGTAATTTGTCTGACCTGCGTTCCCGAACACGGCGACAACTGATGAGAAGACAATGACAAAATCCATTTCGTGCACCGGCATAGTCTCTTGTAGAGTGAGGAATGCGTTGATTTTAGGTGGGAAAGGTCTTTCGAAGGTATCTTCTGTTTGCAGGGCGAACGTCCGGTCCTCCAGGATCCCTGAAAGGAGCATACAACCGCCAAGATTTTCACCGATATCATGGGCCAGAGCTCCCATGTCTTGCAAAGAGGTGGCGTCAACCTTCAAAAGCCGTAGTGACAGGTCTGAGCGTCCTTTCAAATAAGATAGAATTCGCATCGAAGAGCTAAGTTCCCTCCGGGAAACCCCTTCAACTCCCGAGCGGGACGTGAGCACAATATGCCGGGCACCTAGCTATTGCATTTACCATGCATAAGGAAGCAAACACCCCGTACGAAAGAGTGACATACCTGATACATCCACAGCGCTATCTCTATGCCTAGGCTCCCTATTCCACCTATGAGTAGATACGTCTTATCTTTTTTGAATAATGTCCTCTTGTGTGCCACGACGTCGGGGATTTGCTTGCCTAGTGAAGCGGAGAGTGGTACAAAGGACTTGCCTACCAGGCCAATTGCGTCATTGAGCGCGCATCGCAAGGCGTCGCCGAAGGTCCAAGGGTCGAATTCCAAGATGTGATGCAAGCTCTTCGCCCCCTTGTCCCTCCAAACAAGCAGCCTGCCGCCTGGATGCAGAATGTCGGCATACATCTCTTCCAAGGACGAGCGCTGACATGCCGACACGACGTAATTTGGACGCTGCTGCCGGAGCTCCTTGATGTCAGAAAGAGAAGGCTCCCCGGAGAACTCCAGTACTGCCAATCCCAGCGAGCGATATAACGAAGCTATTTCGCGGCCGACCTCAGTTGAAGATTGCGTCACAAGAGCTGTAGCACCATTCAACCGGAGGGGATTACGGAATATCGCAGGTCCTATACAGAGGATGCCGATCGCACGAGCGATATGACCGGAGCCCAACGCCGATGTAGTCGATTCGCTAGGGATATCTGCAATGCTGCCAACATGCGTGGCTACGACATTCGTGAGTGGGCCGGCTGTCATGCCAATAACTCGGCGTGTGGTATCCTGGATTTCCCCGATAAACGCCCACAATGTGTCTGTTATTATCGAAACATCGGCGACGTGCACGAGCACATGGTTCTGTGGTACTCCAGGCAGGGATATGTGGGTCACTTCACCTGCATCCAGAACCCAAGGTTCCGCGGGTTCGAACGGGACCGCACGACTCGGCGCGGCGGAAGGTACCAGCCTCGGAACCAGTATTTCTTCATGTGCCCCGATCATTACCTCGAGTTCGCAATCCCTGTTTGCCAGGGTACGGACAGCAGCAATCATTCTTTCCTTTTTCCACGCATATGGAAAGACTACGCATCTGATGGTCCATGCGCGGTATTCCTGCCTCAGAGACCTGGTAAAACCAAAGGAGGCTTGTCCGTTCATCCCATCCACGGAAATGAACCAGAGGGACAGATTCATATGAGGATCGAGCTCGACGATAGCCTGCTTGATATTCATTTCTCGTCCGCGAGCATATTCAATCACAATTGCGTCGAAGCTTTCTCCAACAAACAAGAAGACCCCGGTTTGCTCTGAAGATGCTGTCCCTGGACTTCCACAGCTCGGAGTGATGCTATCAGGGGAACCCGCATAACCCAACTCCAATCCTGTGGTTTCGCCTAAGGGTTCCACGTATGTCAACTCGTACCGGAAATGAACTTGCTCCCTGCGGGGACCATGGAGCGCCACTTCTAAGGCCTCTATCGTGCAGAGACATGCACCATGAGTGTCAAAAATGGAGACATCATATGTCGTTGTATCTGGAGGCACGGATGAGTAACGGCCTACGCCCTACGCAGCTTGAATTGGCCTCAGGCACCTACCCGGAGTCCACTCCGTCAGAGTTGCGTGAGTGAATAATGTCCCGGAAAAGGATTTGTGCAACAAAGCCCTGTGAACGAGGAGGGCTCCAATCCTTGAAGGAAGGTAATATCGAGACTTATCTTCTCTACCGGTCATAACAGGGTGCACTAAAGCATGCATGGCCGCGTCAAGAATCGCGGGGTGAATGACGTAGTTATCCAAACTACCAGTCGTTGTTTTAGCTGCCCTCATATGTATTACGGTGACGCAACACACCTGGGGAGGTCTCCGTCATTGCCACGCAGCTGTATGAGTATTTCCTCTTGCCCATCCTTTTGGAAACCATGATAGCACGATGTGACACGCTGATATGTGGAGCCATATTGAGCGAAAGAAGTAAATCGCCTGTAGAAATCTATACAGGAACGGTCAGCTGTCTGTCTTACTAGAACATTAGGATTTCTACCTCTCATGTCAATGTGCTTGAGGCGTCCCATTCTTTGCTCGAGTGACTCGGGTTCTTCCTTGTCCAGGGCATCACTATCAAATGACAAGTATCCCTCGGCGTGAATGTGATCATACTAGGCAAGTAAGCATCAGTGTCTGTTAGTAAGCGGAAACCTACTTTCGGTGGATAGGCACTCGAGAGTTGTTTGTTCGAAGCGCTCCGTACAGTCCACTTACAGCCTTCAAGTCCGACTTCTACCTGTATAGGTCTTTCTGAAGATAGCGGAAGAATGCATCAGGGAAAACCCCCCGTGATGATCAGACAGAATCTCCTCTTTTCAGTTCCAATTAAATCTAATTACTGGGAATCAGACCAATTATAACGTTAGTTCTAATTAGACAGCCAACGCTGGCCTCCCGACACTTTATATCTAATTAGTAATGATTACAGCAGCATAATGTGTTATAAGAGGCCATTTATCAGTAGTTTCCAATGGATTAGGCATCCACAGGTATCATCATGCAGTAAAATATGTATTCTTCTTATCTATGAACAAAGGTCCAGTCTACATATGCATCTACAGTATCCTGACATTTGGCCTCGACCAAACAACACGTCGCTGACACACGTCCACCATGAGCTCTCTGGCATACCAACGGGCACATGCAGCCGCAATGACGGCAGGTGTGGTTACAGATGCAACCTACATTACCATGTTTGTTTGCATCAGTGAAAGCCTGGATGGTCATATCCTCGTCCTCCATCTCCACGAACCGCTGCCCGAGCATCCCCGCCGGGCTCGCCTCGCCCTTTGCCTCCTCGAACACCACCTTCGCCCGCGGGCCCACGACGGGGCTCGTCTGCCCCCGCCTGGGCAGGTGCACCACCAGCCCGCGATCGCCCACGGCCGTGCGGTTCAAGAAGAGTTTCACCGCCGCGACGCAGTCCGCGGCCGCCTTGAGCGCGCCCGTTGCCGACCTGAGCAGTGCGGCCTTCTCCTCCTCCTCACTCATGGCACTCGCGCTCGTGAGCATGCGCACCGCATCCGCGAGGGCCGTCGTCATGCTGTACAGCCCCTCGCGTGCGCCGCGCAGCTTCGCGGACGGCAGCGCGGGGTGCTGCATCACCGCCTCGATGATCGTCAGCAGCTTGCACACCAGGTCGTACATGTGCCCCGTGCTCGACGCGTGCGACATGCGCGAGTGCGAGTGTGCGTGCCCGATGAACGCTGCGATGGTGGAGGGGCACTGGTCGTGCGTGTGCCGGAGCGCATCGAGCACTTGCGCTGCCGGCGTCGGGCCACTTGGGAATTCCAGCATCGGGGGTGTCTTGATCAACTGAGAGGAGGAAGAGGAAGACGTGGATGAGATACTGCTGATCGAGGACTGACCTCCGCAGTGCCCATGTTCTGAAGCGCACCTCGTCTGTTAGCGATGGTACGGGCGGTGCATCGCACCCACCCACGCCCGGCCTGGGCGTGCGCAGGTCGCCCATACTCCTCGCCGCGCGGGGCGTCGCCGTCGCCTCTCTCTGGCGCATGTGCGGTCTATGCACAGTCCCAATCATCGTGCTTACCAGCTTACCCCTATCCTCCGACTCGTCGCCCTCAGACAGCAAGCTCTGGTCCGACGCCAAACTTCTTCTGTCAGGCATGGGCACCCCGCACTGGGCCGCCACGACCAGGAACCGGCGGCAGTGCGCGAAGAGGTGCCCCGCGAGCTTGAGCATCGACTCCGTCTCGCCCTCGGCCCGCTCCTCGTCGTCCGTCTCCTCGCCCGCCTTCTTGGTCTGCGCGACGAGCGCTGCGAGCGTCGCGAGCACTGCGCGCGCTCCTGAGTGAGCAGCGGTGTCTCAGCATGGCTATACGTAGATGTAGACAAATACTATACATTACCCGGGAACAAGACCCATTGCAAATGCCTAGAAAGATCATTCCTCAGCATCAGGGATACTCAACTTTCCATTCCAACACACAGCACTCACCTGAACCCTGATTAAACAAGGAGCACTATCATACTCAAAGACACTCAAGCTACAAAGATCGTGGTAAGCATGACAACCACACTTGGAGGATACCAAAAGATTCACGAGGCAGACAGGGGCTAGAAGGGAGCATGATTCGGCATTCAGTCACATCCCCGATGCACCAGCAAACACAACAAACTGGATACTCCCTTGAAGGAGGAATTGATCCACTGATAAGGACTACATTACTCACCAATGCCAGTACGACCGTTGTGGGTGCCAACGTGCAAGACGCCGATGACCACCGAGACCTGCTGATGCGAGCCAAACTCCCCCTCAGGAACCATATACAGCCACTCCTAAAAGCGGCTACTTATCGTAGAAGTCGGTGGGATGCATCTTTGTTGACGAGGGGAAGGTGAGACCGTGAGGAAGAAGTGAAGTGTTCGGACGCGAGTTTGTAAATTGAAGCGGAGCTGTAAAACGCGGGTTCAACACAGTCACGTGCTAGACGCGCGCCCCACGATGCACCATGCACGGACTCGAGCGCGTCTTTAAGTAACAGTTTCTATGCTTGTCTGACTCCAAGGCTCTATTGTTCACATATTTCTTCATGCACCCGACACCCTTGCAAGTGCTGCTGTGGTACCTGAACATGCAGTAAGCCAAGTCGGCGGTGCGGACACACTTCCATCGTCTCGCATGCGGCACCAAGGCACGTACCATTCAATCTCTTTGCTTCTCCAGCCCAATTGAACTTAAATTGTATCTGAGTAAGAGCACATAACAACTAATTATTGATACTGCATATAATTTAGACAGGTTATGTTGATTATCACCATCATGCACCCTTCGACAAGATTAGTGCTTAATTATATCTGATTCGCGCCGGAGGTTTTTCCTGATGTGGAGATGAATCGCACATCCCATAACTTCAATGCTCCAAATTCTAAGGCCTTTAACGTATTCCCCTCAGTTGCAGAGCCACGAAAATACAGTAAGTAATGACTGACCATTTCCAGAAAACCAGCAGCAGGCATGATTGGCTCATCCTTGATAATGTGACCTGCCAACTCTGGGTGTGTCTTTGTGTTGAGCTGAAGCTGTGGATAGTTCAAGGGTCCATTTCGGTGTTGCCTCTGTCTCATGATTTGAAGTGTTGGCGCTACATACGGTATCTGTTTTACTGAAAATGGATATGAAGGAGGAGGCTGATCCGTCTTGCAGGTTCCCCGGGCAAAGATCTCAAGACCAGTAAAGTTGTGCCCAGACACGACGAGTCTCCCGAGGCACTCAGCGAACTGATAGAGTTCGACCTCTCGACTGACTTCCGAGTGCTTTGGTCTTGACATGGGGCAGGTGACGACAGCATCTGAACCAATGATGGATTGAATATAGTGAGTGAGGACTGGATGGGGTGAAATCTCGATGAAGGTCACATCTGGGTGGTCTGCTGCAAGAGCCTCTACAGCATGGGTGAATTTAACCAGCTGACGAGCATTGTCCCAAAAGTAATCTTGACTGAATGTGCCGGAGAGTCGCTGCCCACTTACTGTTGAATACACAGCGACAGTAGGAGCAACCACAGGATAGTGTGAAAAGACGCGTGAAACACGTTCCTTGTACTCAATGGCACACTTTTCCATCATCGAGGAATGTACGGGAGTGCGAGTGGTCAGTCGCCTTGATAGGAACCCTGCGGAGCGTGCTATGTCGACAGCTAAATCAATATGGGAGGCAAGGCCAGACAGTGTGATTGCATCGGGACCATTGAGACATCCGATCTCCAGAGGACCATCACCAAGTTGATCCCTGACTTTCTTGATGATCTCCTCAGCCATGATCTGAGAACAAGAAAGTGCAGCCATTGCACCATTCTGATCCTCCAGTAACATCATGGCCTGACTTCTAGCTATGGCCAGCTCCATGGCCATGACCTTTGAACCTGCTCCAGAGGCATATAACAAGGCTGTCTCGCCTGCAGAATGGCCTAGGACAGCATCAGGGGTGATGCCTAAACAAGACAAAGTGTCAACCAGAGCCATTTGAACCATAGCAATAGCGGGAAGGGTGACTGAGATAGGCCACACATCCTGGGATAAGTTGCACAGCTCAGAAGTGGCTGAAAAAAGGCCCGTCTTCTCCATCAGGGAATAGCCCACTACGCGATGATGAACTTCATCCAGTTCTTGTATGGTCTTCCGAAAGACAGCGCAAGTACGGAATAACTGGCGACCCACTGGCAAACTCATTTCAGCATGGATACACTGGTTCAAGTATGTGACCTACTATCAATGTGCTGTGGTCCCTGGCCAGAGAATACAAATGTAATTTTAGGAGCCAGTCTAGGCATCATCACCGGCTTTGAGAAAGGCGACAGCCGGCCATTCACGGCGACAGAGAAGGAACGCCATATCAAAGAGCGAGAGCGGCGTCCATAGATACAAGAGATGTCGTGTTGGTTGTCCTTGGTAACCATATTATGGAGTTCATCTGCAATGGCAGCCGCGGAACGGGGAGTAAGGCCAGCAGCAACCAACACAGCGGGGAGAGGTTCAGATGACACTTCTTCCCTCCAAAAGGTAAACTGACAAGGAGAGCGAGGAGAAGGTTCTTCAATGACACAGTGCCCATTGGCCCCCCCAATGCCCGAGCTGGACATGGCAATCAGTGAACATCCACTCAGCGACTTGCAGCCTAACAGTTCCGGGCTGGTGGGGACTTGAAGTTTAAACCTTTCCCACTGGATTAGGGGGTTGGGGTCGCGAAAGTTGACATTGGGGGGTATGACACCTGTTTGAAACATGCCGCAAACTTTACATAAAGATGCAAGGAATGACGTGATTTCAAGATGGCTGTCTTACCGAATTAGAGTGAGACAGATGAAGCTAGACAATAACACTCACCCGATGTTTCCCTTCACGCTGCCTATGCACAAGGATTCTGCTCCAAGGAACTGCTCACCAATCCAGTTTGCTTCCGTCGGATCACCCTGTGCTGTCCCTATATTGCAATACATTACATATACTGAACACTTGCGGCATTGTCATACCAGTAGCATGTAGTTCGACGTAATCGACCTCTCGTGGATCACGCCTTGCTTGAGCAAAAGCACGGCGCATGGCATCATATTGAGCAGATGCTACCGGTGCATTCACGGGAGCTACGCTTCCAGAGGAATTGACTCCAGTACCGAGAATCTAATGAAGGACTTGCTTGAAGAAATCAAACCATGATTGATTTGGCCCACACGTACATTGGCATAGATCTTATCCCCATCCCGGATTGCAGCGGTCGTGGGTTTGAGCACGATACAGACAACACCTTCACCTCTACCAAACCTGAGCAGTAGGGAATGAGCAAACTGAATATCCAGAATCCGGACAGAAGTACCCATTTGCAGATGCATCAAAGGGTTTGCACTTGCCGTCGGGAGATAGAATTCCTCCCTGACTGTATACCAACCAGTCGGCGAATCTTCAAGGACACAGCGAAGTTAGTTCTGATACACAGTAGTCCAATGTCTGAGTCGGAAATGGTACCTGTGATTGATTTGACAACCACCAACTACAGCGGCTTCGCACTCCCCGTTTCTGAGGGCCTGTACTGCCAGATGAGTTGCATACAGACTTGAACTGCAGGCAGTATCCACGGGGACAGATGGGCCGCGGAGATCGAGGTGATAGGACACTCGATTCGCCACCATTGAGGGCGCTGCGGTGAACGAGCCTACTGCTTCAGCATCATCCTGCATAAGTATAACAGAGTGTCAGTGAGGGACACTAGGTGAATAACTGTAGTTGGCCGGCTGTCACAGGTGAAGATACGTACATGACCAGAGATTGACCATATATCATGAGCAACTGCTGCCATGAAGCATCCCACATTCTTTCCTCGGTAGTCAATTCCAGAGTCGAGTAAACTTAAGAAGGCGGTCTCTATGAGTTTTCTCCCGCCAAGCGGCATCAAGCGGGCATCCTTGCTCGTCATTCCAAACTCGATGGCATCGAGTAGGTCGATATCCTTGAGGAAGGAGCCCATCTTGGTTTTAACTCGCCCAAGTCCCTCACCGACAAGACTGTTCAACAGATTAGTTTCAAACAATGAATAGGAAGAAACAGTGTCTCATGATCACATGCCTTTCGACATTGAAGCGTTCCACTGGAATTGTCTCGTATGCTTCACCCTTGTTCAGAAGGAACCGGAAGAATGAATCGAAGTCAAAGTTGGTATCGCTGTGACTGCCACTTGGTAACTGTGCCGCTATCCCTATCTGTGCTAATGTCAACAGGTAATTTAGGGTGAGTACACCGAACTTACAATGGCAATCGGCTCATAATTGGCGGTAGACATGGCCTAGCTGACGAAGTATGCAATGTGAGTCTTAGCGACCCCACTGAAGTAGATTGAATAGGCTGGCCGTAGGATTTAACATTGACGCTTCATGTTTGAGGCTTTATGCATTTTCAGCATTGGAATATTTGCAAATTCCCAAAGAGCACAGTAATGATTCTCACCGCATGAATCACTACCGGGACGGAGATCACGATAACCAATGCCAATCGTGGCCGGAATGGCCATGGACCGCGACCCTGTACAGCAAGAATGTCAGTTGGGGTGAAACATCAGAAGTTGTGGGCGGTTGTGCAACAGATGTTGATCACGACAGTACTTGGAGGGAATGTGTAAAGTTTGACGACTGGCGCGAGTGTGAACCGTGATGGAACCGGCTCTCTCTACTTGGCCGCTTCGGCACAGGAACATGAGTGAACAAAAATCAAGTCGAATTGCGGAATATCAGGAGTCAAAATTAACTGATGTTTCCGATTCCTTCACTTTCTGGAAAGCAGAAGTCAGCGTCACGAGCGTCAGAACCTTGCGCGGCGTACAGAAAGGCAGACGAGTGCTCCGGCCTAGTAATCTTTGATCGGTCCCAGATTAGAAGAAACAAGCAAGATGGCCGTGATTCCACGTAGTCCGGGCGATGTCTTGTACTATCATTTTGGGGGTTCTGTCCAAGTCAGATTTTTGACAGAACTCCGAAATCTCGACAAACATGCAACGGGTGGCTTAGCGGATTGGTACATAGGTGAATTGTAACCCGTAGAGGACGCCTGTGAAGTCAGAACTGTCATATCTTCTACCATTGTTGAATGGGAGGACGAATACTGTGCAAGCAGCCCAGTGTAACCATGAGAAACAGGCCTGATGCATTAGATCTCTCGGCCTACAGTCTTCCGGTAGATATCGGCTAGTTGCGTAACACTGTATTATGTATAGCTAAGCATGGTTCACCCACCCGATTGGTGTTAAAGCAATCCCAACTGCTCGTATCGTATGTTTGACAGAAGTGCAAGGGTCCTGGGCGTGACAAATGCGTGACGAAATTGGCGCGGATTCCTTACTGTGACTCGGGTGTGACGCCTTGACAGAACTGTGGGTCCATCACCGGCATCTCTCTCTGTTATATTGTACCCAGTCAATTGAGGTTGTTATTTGCGCAGATAGTACTTGAGAGGGTTTATTATGATGCCTGTCTGAAAGTACAGTGCCTTGCATAAGAAACTGAACATCGCGTTTCCGCGCGCGTTGTTTGTCCGCGCCAAATATACCCTTTTCGGGTATCGGCAAATGTGCGGCAAAGAACCATCGAGAGGGAGGGTAGCTAGGCATACAGCTGGGGGCAGAGTATAATGCTTTACAGCCCTTAGTGTAGTTGTAGAAGATACAGTTCATGTATTCTCTGATGCCTTTCGAGCCCTCTCGGGGCGTCTGCGAGTCCCTGCCCAGCAAACGGTCTCGCGAGAGGCCTTCCGGACCTACCCGAAAAGGGTATATTTGGCGCGAACAAACAACGCGCGCGGAAACGCGATATTCAGTTTCTTATGCAAGGCACTGTAGTACTACAGTCGACTCTGTCTTAACCCATACCTGTCATAACCCATAACCTGTAATAACCCATAGGTTTTTGGCTTCCACCGACATGGTAGATAGTAAAAACCCATAAGTCTGCCGTATCCCATAACCCATAGCTTTTTGAAGGGTCATAACCCATAAAACAACCTATATTAGGAAGGTACAGGTCTCCTTCTCACGAGAATCTGGACCATCTGGACCCTTAATTTTTTGGTTCTCGTGGTATTTCAGAAGATAACCCATACCAGACTCAAGATTCCGTATCTAAACGGTGTCATAAACGACGTCCGGCCTATACCGGATAGGCTGTCTGTCACGCGTACTAGGTAGTCACACAATGTCACACGTTCTGGTAACCCATAGTCTGCAGAAACCCATAACTTTTGGGTTC